CAGAGTCGGCCAAAGTTCGCTCATTGCGAGTTGATGGCAGAGTTGGAGTTGGGCACTAGCTGCAATTCCGCCTAGTTCCATTTTCATTGATAATGAGCTTTGATCAACATTGAGTTATTCACCTTCCATTCTTTTCCTACAGACTGGTTCAGGAATAATACTTGTAGAAGTGAGGAGTCGAGGTAATGTGAATAATGTGCGATTTCAATCGACTGACCAGGAAAGGTCAACAGGTCAGCCTGGCCATTTGCAATGAGATGCACATCATTGTACCGTCTTGAGACGGTGAACTCAAAACTATCTTCAAAATTTGCGGAACGATTCTCTGAGCGGAGTTATGGAGGTTTTTCTTTACTGTTTTTCTTCTTACGGGCGCGCTGGCGCCGAAGCGTTGGCACATGTAGCGCGACTCACAGCGCTCTTCGCGCAAAACAGGTATTCGTGTTCAGGGGGTCAGATAACCCCAGGAACGTCACCTTAGCGAACACGTCTGAGGTTCTGAGTCAACATTAAAAAAATGGAACTCATTATTGCTTAGTGTAACGCAACATACTGTAACGCAGCGTCCTGCTATATCCGAACGTGTCATAACAGAGGAGCTATGAGCGGAGGTAAGGAAGGGAATTTCGTCCTCATATAGTCATGTCAAAGCGTGCCTAGTAGTTTACTTCCTGTAAGTGAGAGCGCATAGCAAACCTTTTTGACTTTGAAGTAATCGATGCTAGCCTTCAAATATGATGATTGAAAAGTAGTTACTGTGTTAGAAATTTTATTCTCTGCTCCGAGAAAATGAGCTCTTCACCTTCTTACGACTGTTTGAAGAGTCACCAAATACTCCGAAGCATCAGCGAGAATGCTTCAAGGAATGATATACTCAAAAAGCCACGTTCGGGAAATAGAAAAGTTAGCACGTTTCTTACATTATGCCAACCCTTAATGCAGCACACCTTTTCTATGAACTGAGTTATTAGCGAAGACAACGGGGAGCGCGTCATAAAGGAAAGGCACATGTAGACAAAAACAGAACATTCTGATCCAGAAATGCTATGACCTAAGAGAATGCTGACATTACAGGGAGACCTACCAAATATCATTTCGCAAGACATTTCATTACCAAACAATATTTCCTTACTCCAAAAAATCCAATCGCTCTGATCTAGCAAATCACCTTAAAGCAGTGTTTTAATGTCGCGTTTTGGGAATAAGATTGCACCTGAAACCGACTGGCTCCTTCGCGGAGAACTCGAGACGCTCCAAATCGAAAGAAAACCTTTTTATTTATAGAATTTCAGAGAACTTTGCTGGTAAGTTATCTGCTAACATAAGGCTGGTGTAGCTCGCATGAAGAAAATTACAAAAACCACTTTCCTCAGAAGGATGGGAAGTTTATATCACTTTGTAACAAAAACCTGCAAAAATATATCTTTGTGGCTTGTGGTGAAGATTTTTCGAGGATGCAATGCGCTGACCTACAATGTGTCGCTCAATTGCGAATCTGCTGGGCATTCTGCGGAGGATTGTTTTCGCCTAACATCATGCGGGAGGAACTGGATTCTGGAGGGACGCTTCTTCTGAACTACGATAAGCTGGTCCAAAAAATTGAAATCGTTCGAATTGCGAAAATTTCGTACCATTTGCGCAACTGAGATGTCTGTAACCGAGATAGTTGTAAAAAGTATCCCTGTTCTGTGCTCAGTTGCTTTTTTTGAGCGGAGATTTCGACTTTCAAAATCATCTCATTTCATGGTCTCGAGGCTGCTGGAAATGAGAAGGTTGTGGCTTGTGGTGAAGATTTTTCGAGAATTCAATGCACTGACCTACACCGTGTCACCCAATTGCGGATATGCTGGGTATCCTGCGGAAGATTAATTTCGCTTAACATCATGCGGGAGGAGCTGCCTTATGGAGGGACGACTTCTTCTAAATTACAAAAAATGGTCCAAGAAATTGAAATCGTTGGAACTGCAAAAAATTCGTACCGCTTGTGCAACTGAGATGTCTGCAACATGAGATACTTGCGGGAAGAATACCCTTGTTCCAGACTCAACTGCTTTTTCCTTCAAACTTGCGATTTCGGTTTACAAAAGTGTTCAAAAATAGAAGCCATCTCGGTAAATAGATATCCTGCCCTCTGAATCTCTCAGAGGAACACTTCATTTCTGAAACATAGAAATTGCTTTTCGGTTTCGCTGTTAGGACGAATTGTCATGCTCATCCAAGCTCTACTTATCTGATTTCTTCTTCATGGAACTTAGCGGAGTTCGAAAATGTTCAGAGTCATTTCCACTGCAACGCATTGCAACGTCTACTTGCCTAGAAAATTTCGGATAGTGATGGGGAAAGAGAACGTGATAAACACAATTATTCATTTGCATGAAACTTTTTTCCTTTTGATCAGAGCGTATTATTATAGGAAGACTTTGTTGAACACAATGTTTTTTACAAAGTTGCTGGATGATTTGATTTTGACA